AGGAAAAAGGAAGAGGCAGAGGGGAGAAAACAGATGCATTTCTTGCCAGTAATTTACTCATTCTGGTACCTACAACCAGATTGGAAAGCAGCCGCCGCCCTGCACACTGCAGGAGATCAGTAGGGGAGAAGGGACAATTGCTCTTTCTTCCTTAAGTGAATTCTGACTCAGCTGAGGAATTAATGTGGAATAGATTATAGATAGTTGCTAAATTAGATGTGTAAAACTCTGATACAGGGTAGAAATACCTCCAAGGGATTTGCCAAGCCAGAGCTTCTGCTCTCATAGTGGAATATACGATATTCAGACTCAAGATCTGAAGAGAAAATTTGGCTTTTGTCAAGTAGAAATAAATAACATCTATAAGTAACCAGAAGGTTATTAAGTGGGAATTAACAAAACATATAAACAAAAGATTGTCAGATATGTTTCCTTTTTGTGTAATTCATCCTAGTTTAACATAGAGTTTATTTTTATAGAAAAAGCACAGATAATTTTACAACGTGGACATTTTCAATAGGCTACTGGCTGAATGTGAGAATGGCTTACACCCAAGCCTTTGTTCTTCAAGGCACCACACCCTTCGTAAAATAAAAATTAGTTACTCCAATCACGCTGAGAGGAAATTAGCTTGTTGATATAAATAGTGATTTTTGAAGTCAGACAGCTTAGACTCAAAAAACCAGCACAGCCATTTATTTGAGCTGTGGTTTTCCATCAGCTACGTAACTTCTCTGTGCCTCAGTTTTTCATAAGTAAAATAAGTACAATGAGATTACATCCTCACAAGATCCTTGTGAAGTTTAAAAGTAATAAAACATATAAAGCTTATTACAGTGTCTGGCAAACAAACAATACATTTTAGCTATTATGTTGTTAATAGCACGGAAGCCAGGCGAAGTTGGTATTTAGGATATCAGTTTCACAAATAAGGAACGAGGGTCAGAAGGACAAAATGACATGCCACGGTTAAAATAAAAAGATGAAATTTAGACTCTGTTTTTCCTGCCCTAAACCCCATAAACTTATCACCATACCATACTATTCTTGTGACAGTTCTGTTTAGAGTATCTGAAGGAATTGAAATTGTCTTTCAATTGGGTACATCAGGTGTTCAATAAATGTAAGACAAAATGTTGACTGTGTGAGTGCAACCTTGTGATTCTAACTAGCATGGTGCTCTGCTACGGCACACTATGCCAGATTTATTCTTGACTGTGCATTTTTTCATCCTGCCCCTTCATTTATATAATGCCTTCTTCCCTCCCTCCTTCTTCTAATTGCTGATTTAAATTCTACACATCCATCAAGGACATCTTACAAGAGTTTTCTTCGCTATTTCTGACAACTATGAGTGTTGCCAGAGGTGTATACCATCTGTACTATTATTTATTTAGTATTTTCCTTTAAATTGATACACCTTTTATTCTTAAATTTGTTTGAAAAGGAAACCATCATAAAGGAAAAACTAATTTTGCTTGGCATATATAAATGGTAGCTATAAAAATTGCTATAATGTAAACAAAATGAAATTCTAGACAGATTTTGTTGTTTGTCAAAGGCTTAATATATATTTATTCTCACTTAAAAAAATATAAGCACATGCTATGTATTAACAATGTATGTGCACCAAATGGAAATTTTAAAGATTTCTCATTGAAATAAGCAAATAATCTGTAAGAAAGCAGAAAAGGAGATGACTTTTTCATTGAATGTTTTAATTTTATTTAATGTCACTATCCATTACTACTTAATGGAATCTTTCATCGAATTGCCTACCTGGTCCCAATATTACTTTTGTGAATTACACCATTTCTCTCCAAGTCTCTCACTTGGAGACTTTTTTTTTTTTT